GTGGGTGAAGCCGCGCGCTAGCCGCCATCTTGCTGCCTTGCCCTCACTTGGAGGCGGGGTGTTGGCTGGGCTGGTGTCCCTCAGGGGCGGGTCCTGCTGTCCCCGTCCTGCCTCACGGCCCAGCCGGGTTTGTGTGTCCCCTGGGGTGGTGGTGTCATCCTTAAAGTGGGTTAGCTTACCCGGTGTGTAAAACGCCAGGGTACACGCAGAGCAGAGGTATTCTATTAGTGCAGATCTGGGTGCTGGGTGATACTCCACAAAGCTAGTGCACCGGCCTACAAACTCCTTGGAATATTTATACGGTTCAAAACTGAATCACAGAATCTTCTAGGTTGGAAGGGACCTTAAAGATCATCTTGTCCAACCGTCGACCTAACTGACAAAAATAGACACCCGCACAACAAACAAGGAGCCTCCTCTTCTCCAGGCTGAATAACCTCAGTTCCCTCAGCCTCTCCTCATAAGATTTATTCTCCAGACCCCTCACCATCTTTGTCGCCCTTCTCTGGACCTGCTCCAGCACCTCAAAACATAGAAGTACACACCCTTAATTACAAATGATTGGTTAGTACCTTATCTTAACAATTTCTATTGGTTAGTACAGTCCGTTGTTTTCATTTAAAGTTACAATGTCCTTTAACTGATGTGCGCACGCTCCAGCACAGCGTATGGGAGGGTAGTTCTGTTCAGTTTCTAATTGAGTCAGTGGTTGTGATTTCCCACTGCTGCCTTTACCTTTCCCCAGTTACTGCTGATCTTTGCTGCTTTTAGCAGTTGCCAGTTTTGGGTGCCTCCTGTGGAGGGATGTTCCCTCGCTACCACCCTTCTGTGCCTCTTCAAGGGTATATTAATTAGCAAGGCACCCATTGTTTATACAAATTGTCCTGCTTGGCAAGGCCTTGTAGACTTTTTTGCAGCTCTTTGCTCTTGCTCAGGGATAGATTCTACCTTCTAAAATACTTTCTACCTTCTGAAGCATATAATTTGGTGTCCCCAAGGCGCTTGGCCTCCCCAGCGAGTCTCCCCTCAGGAGGAGCAGAGGTCTGGAGGAGGCTGAGGGTGCTGCAGCCACCCCTCAGCTGCCACCTCCCTGTTTGTGAGGCAAAAAAGGCTGAAATTCCTGTCAGCGATGGGAGGGAGCATTTCCCCAAAGGCTGGGATGCTGTGGAAGGTGCCAGGGAGGATCAATGCATGGGTTTTTTTTTTTGCTGTGCTCTTTGAGGGCAGCAGTGCTCAGGCTGAGCGTTCCTGTGTGGGTTTATAATTCCCCTTCAGTGGTGGTGGGCTGGTTCTTGCCTGGTGGTGATGCTGTGTAAAGTTAACCTGGGTTTAGAGACTCTGCTGGAAGAATACACGGTGCGATGTGGAAAATCCGGTACTAAACACCACCTCAAGCTGTGATGGTGCTGGAGTGTCATTGCTGATCCCCATAATGTTCTAGAGTGGGATTAGGGTAAGTGGCTACACAGACATTTGGCTGTACAACATATACACTGCTCAGTGTTGTATTTGTATCTGAGGCCCTGATACAACCCTGAAGGGTTGGGGCTTGTTCCTGAAATCTTTTTGGTGTCTGTAAAACATGTAAGTGTTCTTTTAATGGATTACACCAGAAATAATTAACTCATATGGGTTAATTCTTTTGTGTGACCAGCTGTCCCAGCCGCAAAGGGGTTTTATTCTAACTGCTCTGATGTGCTCTGTGATCAGCCGCAAAGGGGTTTTATTCTAACTGCTCTGATGTGTGACAGAAAACGTTGCACTGGTGTATTACTTATTCCAGAATGGATGAGCCTGCAGGACTGTCCTTCTGTAAAACATTTTCTTTAGGCAGTCGTGCAGAATAAGTGGGGGTGCTACACGCTGCAGCTTTGGAAATGGGAACCCCACAGGTGTCGTGAGCTTGTGAACAAGACACTGAACTAGAATTTCAGGATTCCAGGCTCCCCTACGTGCATAATTCAGTCAAGTTTGCCTACTGAAAAAATAAGGGCAAAGTTACTTTCACGGCACTCTTGAGTTCAGTGCTTGAAACTTTGCTAAAGTTCTGGTAACCGTGATTAAAGTTACTGTTCCGTGATCTCCAAGCATGAAGAAGCTAACAGTAAAGGGTTTTGAAAATCAGGTCCACTTGAGAACTGGAACTTTCTATATTTGAAGTTTTCCATTTTTTCTCATATTTCTCATGTTTCATTTTTAGTACAGTGCTTTAGGAAAAATATAATTTTCTCATTAGACAATATGGCTGTGTGATATTTCAGTCTCTTGAAATGTAAGTATAGCAACTTTTCCCGTAACTACAGCTACTCCAGTAACAAATCAAAATTTACTGGAATAGTTCTTCTATAATGTCATTGGAAATTAAATTGAAAGACTTCTCTGAAGGCAAAATACCTTTTCTCAATAAGTTCCAGTCAGTACAAAGCTCAGTAATGTGCTAGAGAAGCCTTGGGAAAGGACAAAGTGTTTGTATGAAAGCTCTTCCAAAGGAGTTAGTTACTTAGTCCATGCATAAACCTGCACTGAGTTTTAAATCAAGATATTCAAGGTCCGTGTTTAATTAAGATAACTAATTCAAAGCACTTTAAAATCAATTTAAAAGTGTTTGCAGAAAATAGTGTCACTAATTTAGTTCAAATGGGTTTATAGAGTAGGTAGGTGGCTAGGTAAGGTTATAAACTTTCTGTGATACTGGTTTAAAAGATTTAAAAGTTTAAGTTGCGTTTGCTGAAATGTTCTCAAGTGTATAATTGCAAGTATCTAGGCAAAATGGTCTTGAATTAATTTTTGAATAGTTTTTATAGTGGCCCCTTGCCTAACATAGGGTTTTTTTTTCAGCTATTGCTTTAGTTTTATGTCATCTACAGACTCGGACATATAACAAAAATAACACTACAGTACAACGATAGGCAGGAGTACAAATCAGTTTTCTCTGTAATCAGCAAGACAAGTAAATAGAAAGTGAATGTATACTGTATACTTAAAATATTCATGGTAGTTTAATAATATTTCCCTTCCTCCATGTCATTTCTTGTTTCATATGGGATGGTTGTTATCTAGTATTTCCTCCCTACTATACCTATTGAGCATATCTGTGTTTTATCTTTTTTTTCCCTTTCTAATCTTTCTTTTAATACTGTAACCACTGTGAAGGAAAAAAAAAAAAAAAAGTATCTGTGATTCTTTATTAATTTCTCACACCTACCCAGAAACAGAAATCAACATCTGAGGTGGAAACTGATCTGGGCAGACCAGTTAATTGAAAACACTAGAAAACCTGAAAAAGCCACGATGAATTGCTCTTTCCAAACCTATGTCTTCATTCTCCTGCTCTTACTGAGGGTGAGTGGACAGTTCTTCAGGAGTTACTGTGGTGTGCTCACTGCTATTAGTAATAGCTAGTGCTTTTCAGCACTATCTTAAGGGACACGTGCCTATCTGCCTGCTGGTGGTGGCTGGTTTGCTGTGGGACACTACAGAGTTTGGCTCTGAAACTCTTGAGTGGCATAGAGAAAATGACGTTTGGCCAGAGAGAGTGAAATAGCATTATATTCCATGATATTTTTTCTATTTTTGTGGACCTAACAAAGTACTATGATGCACTTAGAGCTGTGAATCTCCTGCAATGGAAGCGTAGGCTCTGACCGATCTGTGCAAACATCTCCAGATGTAGTATGCTCCATCAAACACAACAAAAGTCAGTGGAATTGTATGGAAGATTAATGGTTTGAAGGGGTGTTGGATGCAAAGAAAACAGTAGTTTCTCTTAGAAATGGATAACACTGTTCTTTCTTTGACAATAGGATTTTATTTGCACATTGGTATTAACTCTGTTTCCAGGATACCATATGAGGGGATGGTTTATCTTTTTTGCTGAGAAGAGTTTGTGTCTAGAAGGATGTAAACCACAGCTGAGCATCTTTGGCATCTTTTCTTTTTTTTATTTTTCCTCATTTTTTTTGGGTGTGGATGGTGTGATTTTGAGACAGTGGTGGTAACTGGGGATGTGTGCTTGCATACTGGTTGGAGGGATCGGGAAGAGCTTTGTGGACCGTCCACCTGATCCTTATTTTGGTGTCCTTGCAGGGCTCAGGTAGATATGGAATGGTTCAGAAGAGCCAGTGGCTGCCAGGTGTATAGCTTGAAATTAATGTCATCATGAAACGGGGAGACATTTCAAGTCCAATTTTTCTGAAGCCTACATTTGAGAAAGAGACCCACCTGAATACTTGCAGCCAGAAGTGGGTGATGTGTAGCTCGTATTTTTATCATTGAAAAGCACCTGCAAAACAGGGATTCCTTCCTCTAAAGATCTGGCAGCAGGGAAGATCAAAAATAGCTAGTTACTTCTAAAAACTTGCACAGGTTTGTAGTGCAGTTGTGCCACAATGTTAAAAAAATGTAGAAAATGTTAAACCCTAGCTATAAAAAATAGTTGTACTACGACATTTATATTTGTGTAGTTGAAATGGGTAAACAGTTGTACCTGCAGAAAGATGCATTGTACTTCTCTTAAGGAAGGTATGTTGATACTGGGTATCAAGGAGCAAAGTAATTATTTCAGACTTTTATTTTCTAATGAAACACTGGAGATAGATAGGAACCAACAATATATTATAGAATTTATGTGTAAGAAACAGGTGATATTTACCAAGTCCCATTTAAACAATAGAAAAGTTCAGAGGTTTTATTCATTTATTTTAAAAATACAGACATCACAGTATATTGAATATCCTTTTTGAGGAAAGTGAACAATGAAATCATATGTTAAGTGTACTAATCACCTTCAATACAGTTTCTTTTGTTACTTGTTTATTGTCTAATTGAATTGTAACATACTGAAATTTAGCCTACTTGCTTCATCAGTAATTTTACTAGTATTTGCTACAGCTCTTTCAGATATTTCAAATATTGCTGTGATAAAATCTTAGTTTCTAAAATGAGTAACCTGAAAATAGGAAAAAACAAAACAAAACACACGTAAAGTCACTCTTACATCTGAAATGACAGAAGTGAGTATCTGTCACTGCAGCCCAGCATCTTCATGAGAACATCTCATTTTACGCTGTACTGTAAAACAACAGATCATATAGTAAGGATCTTCCTTGGCTAATAAAAATAGTAGACCCTCAGCGGGTTGACCAGTGTAACTAGGAAGACTATTTTGCTATTTTAAGTTTTAGTCAAGGTTTTGCCATAAGTTTTCTGCAGTACAGAATGTCTTCATTGTGAGACGTATAATCCAAGCCTCCTTGCTGCTTCAGAAATTCTGGGCCCCTTTTTATTAGGGAAAGGGTAAAAGTTCAGTTTGTTGCAGGCTGGCCTGCATTTTGTAGAAGAAGTAAGTTGATGTGTCCGACCTGCTGAAGTGGCTGATTTCAGTGGAGGCTTTGGGCAGGTGCTTGCAATGTTGCTGCCATTCTCTTTGCTGAAACCTTTCAACGTGCTCGAACTTCCCAGTTGACTGGGCGCGAATAGTTCACTTTCTCCTTCTGATTCCTTGGGTTGCAGTGTGCCGTTTTCCTTTGGAATCAGTCTCTGGTTGTCAAAACTGAATGGCCTGTTGTTGCAGTGGGAATGATCCCAGGGAGCTCCTTGACAAGGGGCTTGTGCCAGGCGGTGAATTCCCAGGTGGGTACGCCACGGTGAGTTGTCTTGGATGCTGCCATCGCTGGCCATCTTCAGACTGACCTTTCTGACAGGAACGCATTCTGTAAATGACTTTGATCTTCTAACTTTTTTATTAATTAAAACAGCATTGACCATTGATTCTGGGAGAACAGATTCATGTTCACCTACAAGAGAAATCCATACATGCACGTTACTATGGCGGCAAAAAATAAGGGTGTAATTTCTGTGTCAGAAACTCAACTGAAGAGCTTTAACACATGAGTTTATGTGTGCTCTTTCCATCTGTGGTTGAGAGGAGTGCAAATTCTTTTGATGCTGGGTTATGGACTAGAAATATTTCATGCTCGGTTTTGCAGTTCTGAGGACATAAATGGTACCCTAGGGTCAGCCAAATGGAAATGGAGATTTATCAAGTCAATATTGATCTAACCAGTACTCTAAGACTCATTAACAACACAGATTGAGAATTGACTTTCAGTAATTAATTGCTTGTAAGCAAAAATTTGTAAGGTGAGCAGGGACTTCCTCCGTGTCTTGGTAGGTGCTGTGATTTGAAAGACAATAATGTTCTGTTTCATACTCTTTGAAGTGTGTATTCACAACTTAAAAACACTGTGACTGTGAATGAACCAAATTATGAATTTCTTTCTTCTTTTTCTTAACGAGGGATTATTAACACATAGGCTTGTATTTTAATATTTTACTGCAATTTTACTATTGTAGTCAGTATAAATGGTGTAAAGCTTATCACATTAGTGTTGTCTGAATGATCACACAGAGGAAAAATCTGCTTGCTCCATGAAAGGTATAGAATAGCTGCAACAGTGGGAGAGAATCTGGTCAGTATAAAAGTTACTGTTAGAAATGTATAAGATATTAGGGATAGAAATGCTAATACTACTTAATTATATATAGCAGCCATGAAATTACTGAGAATGACGGGCTTCCTATGCCTTTGAAAATGAATAGAAACTAAACAGTGCTGTTGATACTACAAGTACCAATGAAATATACTTCAGTTAGTATAAATATAGTTTAAAGTAGGAGTTGTGCAGAATGCTGACCTTATTTACAGGGCTGAGTTATAGGAACTGTATCTGTTGCAGTATGAGTTACGAAGCATATTAAAGTGAAAAAAGTAGACAAAGAAGAGCCCTGATTATACTCTGAAACAGAGTATTTGAGTACCCACTTTAAAAGGATTGTAACCCTGAATTGAAATGAAGCTAGTTTGAATGGGATGCTGCTGTTAAAAAAACCCAATAGCACAACACCCTCTTTATAACTGTCTTCCATACCATTGTTACAAGGAAATATTTGAAGATGTCAGGCCCAGCTGATTTACTGGCAGTAAATGAACCTGTACAACAGGGCTTTGGCTAAGGAGGGGCTTTCTCTGCTGCTTTCGGCTCTCACTGCTGAAGCAACAACACCAGTGTAATATCACAGAATGTTTTCTGCTCCCTGGGTTGGCTGTGTAGAGTTGATCTGATAAGAGCTGCTTTGCAGCACAGCTCTGGGAGAGAGAACTGTGTCAGCCCACATCTCCTGCTCTCCTGCAGCGTTACCAGGAGAAGGGAGTCTAAAGCACAGGCAGAGCTTAGAGATATACCTGTGTTTGTGCACGTGTCTATACAGCGAAGTACGCTGAGGGAATTTCCTAGGGTGAAACCAGTCATAGAGATAAGAACACACAGTTCTCTGTCATGGAACAGTGAGAATCAAAGTTATGAAACAGAAAAAGGAAATAAAGCTGAGCTTGGGTGGCTACAAAAAGTCCACTTGCAAAATAGAGCCTTGTGTGTTCTGCAGAACAGCACAATATTGCACCAAGTGACAAAAATTAGGTCTTGTTCTCCATATGTGAGAGAAAAAACAAGAGAAAAAGAAGTGAGAAACTGAGGTGATGCAGCTTTACATGTTCTTGGGGCTCTAGTTGCACTCTTGGCTGAACTGGCATCGATAGGCGACATCAGGTTTTATCTTGAACCTTACAAAGGAGGTCATCAGAAGAATTATCATCTGGCTTGACTCGATCGGGCAGTTCGAAGTAAGGCATCTAGTCCAATTTTAATAGTCTGGACTGGTTTTGAGTTCAGGTTTGATTTGATTCCTTGGCTACAGGTGGAGTATGCAAAATTGAGCCATAACCTCTGATAGAAATGTGAGACTCCTGAACCACGACATGTTGAATCGTGACAATGTGACACATTCAGCACTCTCTAAACTTGTAAAGAAAGCTTTAAGTAGTCAGATCTTTGATCTGCTTCTTTCTTTTCCTTTTTTAATCTTTTTTTTTTCTTTTTTTAATTGTGCATAATAGCGTTGTTGCAGGGTTGTTTACCATTTGGCCTTTTTCATATGCTGTCATCATAGATAGATATTTTTAAAGTTCTGGAGTGACAAAAGTTAATCTTATTTCAAGTTAGATTGGGAAATTCTTGGAAGAGATTTCTGCAGTCAGAGCCCCAGTGTTTATTCTGTTGTGACTGCATGAGCTGAATGCTCCCATTTAATTCCTAAAGTAAATACTGTTTTTCAGGCTTCTTAGCCAATAAATAATGAATACACTACTGTATTATCCCCTAGCTGGCGACTTTCAAATCTTGTCATACTCTTTGTTCTCAGATAATCAGGAACAGGCAGAAGCATGAAAGTGGCTGTGTCTACTGGGAAAGGAACAGAAGAAAGCTGTTTTCAGGTGACTTCTTAGTTACTAACCCAGCAGTCAAAACCCTAGAAAAGTTAGATAATCTTAAGCTCTGTTAAGGGTCCACAATTTCATGACTCTGGTAAAGAGGTAGTGACATACAAAGCTAAAAGTCCTCAAGGAAACTTGGAGTTACCATTCCAGCTGTGGTGCAATGAACCTGAAATGCTCAAAACCCCTATGGCATCAAGGAAGGTCAGCTGGTCTTTCAGGCAGGAACAATTTAGGGTTTCAGTAGTTAAAACAAAGACTTTTGGCAGAGATTTTTAAGACTGGGGGAGACTGAAGGTGTTCCCCTTCCATGAGGTTTAAATCTCATGAGGTTTTTGTGTATGTGTGGGGTTGTGGTGCTGCTGTCACGGTCCCCTTCCCAGCCCAGCCATAATTCTACCCTCTAGGTAGGGAAACAATTTGCCTCCAGTACAAAATATTGATCCATACGTGAATTGTGTTTTGGTACTAGCTGGAATTTCTGGATAGTTTAAGCTTGTAACTTCAGGAGTGTAGGGCAGCAGGCTATCCTGATATGGCAGTGCTTCTGCTGGATGTGCTTTTGGAAAGCAGTGCATATAACAGGTTCAAAGTGCTGAGCTATGTTAGCTTTCCCACCTTCCAAACCACAGGAATGTATAAGATCACCTTTCAGGACATTGAGAACTCAGCATAACATAAAAACCCCAAACTTCAGCTGCTTCTAACAGTAACATTAATCCTTGTTTAAAGACAGAAGTTCAGTGCAGTAGGTTATGTGGTTTTGTGAATGTTTTGGATTATGTGTATATGTATGTATGTATATGAAAATATTTCTATGTGAACTTCCAGCCCTTTTTAAACTATGCAGAAACTGTGCAGTCCTACTTTCTTATGTCTTTTCTTTAATCTTCAAATGGTGTCCTTGCAAAAAGTCTGCTCTGATTACATTCGTTGTATCTGAAGCTCCATTTGAATTTAATCTGAATACAGACTTCTGCTTCCTTTCTTTAACTGACTTATGTTTTTGCTATAGCTGATTAGATGGACTGTTTTGTCTTCAAGTTAGTTGCCTTCTCATACCTGATAAAATAAGCTTATATATATCTATATATCTATACATCTATATATCTTTTCCTTCCTCACAGAGATGTAGATTCTTTTACCATGAGACTTTCTAGACATTTGGATGAAAGAATATTGAAGAAGTGAATCTGTCGTATAGTTCATAATTACATGGTTTTTAAATTGTTTAGATGTTATAGTCTGTCATGGCCAAAATACAGAGCTGCTGAAAAATGTAGAGGAAAGTGTAAAGAAGGAAATAACTTAAGTTCTGCATTTGTTGAGCTAAATACTAATATGAGAGGTGAATGAGAAGACAACCTCATTAATTGACTTAGTATTCTCAATGTCACTTCAGCTCGGAGAGTAAATTAAAATATATCATTGTAATATTGTAAGCAGTAGCCTAAGTAAAACTTTAAAATATTTGAGAGTTTCTTATATAAAATCTGACATAGCAGGTAGATGAATGATATATATTGTTACTTGTCTTTCTGCTTGGGTACTTTCCAAGCAATATGCAGTGAAAACACTTTCAAAACCGGACTTCTTGTTCAAAGCTTGGATCTTATTACCCACTATGGTTCTTAGTATAATTTATTTTTCAACCAAAACCCAAGTGGTGGTAGTCACTTGATATTTGCTATTGCTTCTTGTAGTCTTGTAGGACACATTTCTTTACACAGATAAAAAAAATGGAAAGAGAGACAGAAGACCCAGAATTGCTTGTTCTGATGGAAGAATTCAAGAGAGCAGAAATGTTACAGAATGCATTGCACAAATATACTGATGATAGACAAAAAATATTTGGCTGCTCTAAGAGTTGACATTTATGTTTAGAATTTTACTTTACCGATACAAAAACTCTAAAACCTTGTCTGAAATACATTCATCTGTTTCAAATTCCTGTTAGTGTTTCCCTGCTGTGAAGCTAATTGATGTAAAACCACCAGTCAGTGAAAAGAATAATAAAGCAAAATGACAGAAAAAGAATTAACTTTGTACCTCTCTGGAAGCTGAGCATAAAAAGAACAAAGCTAGGAGTTAGTCAAGATTTAAAGCAATAGTCTTTACATCTACATCTGCATTGTTTCCTATAAATAAAAGCATACCTGTTTTAAATACAATAATGTGCGATTGCAGTTTTTGCTTCTGTTTTATATGGTCATATACAATAATGTGCGATTGCAGTTTTTGCTTCTGCTTTCTGCTCCTCAAGTAAGCTTACATCCATCTTGGTTGGCTGCTTATGACGATCTGAAGCCTGTTGCTCTGAGGTATGAGTCACTGAAAAAATACCAGTCATGTATTTGTAAGCCTTCACCATCTGTTCCAACAAGGAAGAAAAAGTCGTGCAGAAGCAGGACATTTCCTTCATTGTGTTGGCAAAAAAAAGCAAATCACATACGAAGCACCTGAAATCTTCCTAGATGAGCAAGGAACTTTTTCCTAAGTAAGGTGACTTCTTTCAGAAGTTGTGTGGTCTACTCTGAAGTTGTGGATTTCAGTCAGCTTGTTTCCCTGCAGTGCATCTGGAGCTACCGCATACAGAGTTCATGATTATAACTGGATAGTTGGATTTAATGTTGACTTAAGGTTGCGACCATACAAAGCTCTGCCAAAAAAAACAGTGAAATACAAAACCTCATTGAACACAGTCAGGTGCACAAAGGGCTGGGTAATACTGGTTTATGTGGTGGTGTTAATTCTTAAAGGGATGCTGTCATGGTGACCTCCCCCAGGCAGTACTTCCACCAGGAAGATCTTTCTTTAGGTTTCTTTCCACATATTTTGTGTCTTTTCCCCTCCACTCTCCCTTCCTTCACTCTCCTGTGCTTATTGTTCCCTTTTAATAAATGTGTTAGGAGTGTCCAGGCTGAGGTATGAGTCACTGAAAAAATACCAGTCATGTATTTGTAAGCCTTCACCATCTGTTCCAACAAGGAAGAAAAAGTCGTGCAGAAGCAGGACATTTCCTTCATTGTGTTGGCAAAAAAAAGCAAATCACATACGAAGCACCTGAAGTCTTCCTAGATGAGCAAGGAACTTTTTCCTAAGTAAGGTGACTTCTTTCAGAAGTTGTGTGGTCTACTCTGAAGTTGTGGATTTCAGTCAGCTTGTTTCCCTGCAGTGCATCTGGAGCTACCGCATACAGAGTTCATGATTATAACTGGATAGTTGGATTTAATGTTGACTTAAGGTTGCGACCATACAAAGCTCTGCCAAAAAAAACAGTGAAATACAAAACCTCATTGAACACAGTCAGGTGCACAAAGGGCTGGGTAATACTGGTTTATGTGGTGGTGTTAATTCTTAAAGGGATGCTGTCATGGTGACCTCCCCCAGGCAGTACTTCCACCAGGAAAATCTTTCTTTAGGTTTCTTTCCACATATTTTGCATCTTTTCCCCTCCACTCTCCCTTCCTTAACTCTCCTGTGCTTATTGTTCCCTTTTAAGAAATGTGCTAGAAGTGTCCAGACCTGGGTGTGGAGTCAAAGCAGTACGTGACAACGGCCTTGGAATTGAGAGGCTGGAGATGGCAGCACCTTACTCCAGCTCATTCAGTTTTTCTGCCTTTTTTGTTTTATAAAATATATTATATTTTTTTTATATTAGATAAAATAAACTATAGAAGTAACAATTTCCTTACTGAGAACACTTCAAATGCATGGTAAGCCACATTTTAAAACTTAGCATGCATGCTATCGTATTATCTAATAACAAGGCAAAATATTTTTAAAAATATGTGGCTTTTGATCATATCAAATAAAGTATAAGACTATAAACTGCAAGTCTCTGTCCCTGAAACAGTTCCATCTGATTGCAACGGCCCAAGAGAGTAGCACATGAAAAAAACAATGCAGTTAAACAGTAGTTTTAATATAATTGTGCATTTGCTAGGTTCCCTGCAAGGAGAAACATTGCATAAAAACTGTGTGAAAGGGCAGCGGGTGGAAAGAATGCTGGTGTGCTGTGTTTTTCCAGTTACTTGCCGAAATTATGCGATGATTTGCATTATAAATGATTTACTGAATCGGGCTTGTATCCTGCAGACCTTGGGAATCCCTTGGGAAGCTGTGCGTCCGCAGGTGACCACGCAGTGCATAGAGTTCTGGTGAGGCTCAGCAGGCTCCTGTGTAAGTCTGCTGTAACTCACTTACTATTAATTACTTTTGCCTTCCCAATGTCCTTGTGTCTTGCAAACTGCATTGTCTACCTCAACTGCAGTCTTGTTCTGCTTTAGCCACAGGTAGGACAGTGAACGCAATGCTTTGTCAGGCTCTGTAGATACTCTTCCAGCTAGCTTCTCCCTGGACCCTGGAAAAAGCATGTGTCATGTTAGGGTTGTTCTGATGCATCATGGCTTTGGTAGATCTACTTTGATATTTTGCCTTTAGTAGTGACAAACACCCAGTGCTCTGTAGAAAGTACCTCAATTGCCTTGTTTGTTCAGCATTCCGAGTTGTTGGCACATGGAGTCCTCCTTTGGACCTTCAGGCAGTTGGTTTATACATTGGGGCAGGAGATTCAATTAACCTCATTACAGTTTGAGCTGGCATTCAATACAAACATTATTAATGGTCATAAAAGTTACCCAACCTTTTTAAAATTCCGGTCACACTATTTGACTCGCTGACCTCCTGTGAAAGTGACTTGTGCAACCTGACTATGTGTTGCAGAAAGCATTACCAGGATAGCATCCTTGAACATGAAATGTAGGCTCTGTCTTAAAAGATGTACATTTAACTTCTCCTTAGAAGAGCATTTAAAGTATACTGAGTTTGCATCTGATCAGAAATTAGGATTATTATCAATTATTTGCACTTTACCATTCCCTTATGGAAAAGCCATCATGCTTAGTTATGCAAATGGATTATCCAAGGCAGTCTCTTCCCAAACAGTTGCACGGGTAAACAGCAAAACCAGAAACAGGGAGAAGAATCCAGATGCCTGATGAAATGAAGTGAATGGGTCCAGGTGGTACAGCACATCGCTGGAACCAGGAATGGGATTAGCTTTTGTGTTGCTGAACCAGTCCCATATAGTTTGTTTCATTTTCAGGGAAAGCCTGTGAACAGGGCGTCTTAAATCAGTCTCAAGAGGTGTGTATATAGGTGTTTGTGTGTATGTGTGTGTTTGTGTGTCTATGCTTTGCTATCCAGGCATGTGTGTAGAATACACACACACCTAGACACACCTGTGGGAAGATTTGCAACCAGGATATGATTCACAAAAGGAGCTGCAGGTCTGATCTCTGTGATATCACAAAATACACAGGGTTAAATGTGGTTTTGGTGTGTAGTGAGCTGATGTAACTAATCCTTGTTATGCCACTGACATAAACTTGAAAATGGATTATTTGTGGGTTCTGTTCTTATGCCGTCATGGAACAACTTCCTTTGTACCCGGAGCCTGTATTACTAATTAAAAAAAATATTTAATTTTTGTATTGTCATACATACACACAAAATTATGACTTCTGATTATATCAGTCAGTTGTTCAGTCTTTCTTAAATTGAGTAACTGGGATCTGCAGAGCACTGTATACTTTTAAAATCTGCAGCAGGTGGCACTATTGGAGTGGAATGACTATCCTTGCCTCAGCCCTAATATGTTAGAGACCCCCATTTGGCTTGTAGGTTGCTGAAGAATTTAAGCAGTCAAGCCATTTCCTAGCACTAGTATTCCTATTTCCTAACAGTAGTATAGGTTCTGAAAATTCATTGCCCGTGATTAGGTCTGTGTAAAAACTTGCCTTTCTTTAATTGAACAAACTCCTGTCAAAAATGTCATCTGTGAGTGATTTTTGTTTGATTACCCACTGGAGTCTGAAGTGCCATATTTCCCTTAAGTCTGTTCTTCTATCACACAATGAAAGCAATTTTTCATTTCCTTGAGGCAAAAAAAAAAAAAAAAGAATACTTCGTAATCCAAAAGCAATGGGTTTTATAACTTGAAGTAGATGTTTACTGCCCTTGACCTTGGTTGCAAAATCTCATTGAAAAAGATGCAACTAATTTTATCTCATACTAATTAATTTTTGAGTAGTAAATTAGTTTTTTTTGTTAAAAAAATGTTTGGAGGACCTTCTAGGAATAATTGTTGATTTAAAGATAATTAAAAGTGCTCATATTAGTTAACTGACTGAATGCACTTCGTGTAACACTGGGTCTTACTGCACACCTGGGACCAGAGGTATCCATGACTATTCACGTTATTCATGTGCGGAATTATAGAGATGTCCAACACTGTTCTTGTGGATTACAAAGAGGGAATAGAAATATCCATAGTTTTTAACTGGCACTGAGAAGGAAAATCAAAGTTACTGTGATAATCCCCTTTCTCTAGCTTTCTATAGTAGCAGGGTTGTTTTATTTTTTTTTATTTTATTTTTTTTTTAAATTTAAATGCAGTCTTGAAGTGTTAGAAAGTGACTATTGTTAGAAAATGTAATAACAAAAGCAAAGGTAGAAGCAGGGTGGCTGCTGTTATTTGGGTTCCAGACATTATTGGTAGAATCGGTAGTAATTGTTTAATGAGATTTTTGATAAGAGCACGTATGTTTCTATTATTTGAAAGCACAACCTTAAAGGATGCGACAGGTAGTGACTGGCTAAGCAGTCAGAACCCAGGACTTTCTGATGATGTATTATTTTTTGGTGTAAATGTAACTAGGTAGTGTGTGTGTGTGAAGATATATGTCAATATAGCTGTATATCAAAAAAGAATCAGAAATTCTATTTTTTTTAGCTGATCTGAGAAGGTTGCCCAGTTAGTACAGGCTGTAAAATGGCTCACCGAATTTCTATTCCTTAGGTTCCTGAGTGACTGAATCCAGAACCACTGATCCAGCCCTAGTGATGGGGAGGGGTTTTTGCAAAACATTGGTGTGCCCAGAATGAGGTAGAAGCTCCAGTCCAGTAGTGAGCTCTGGCATTTCTGATCCTGTGCTCTGCCCGGGTGGCTTAAATCAAGGACACCAACTTAGCACGGAGGATTTCTTACCAATCATCCTCTGCTTCACCTTTAATACTCACATGCCTGGCTTTGCATGCGTTGAGAAGGGATGGCAAATGCAGTCACACTGAAATCACTGAATTCATCTAAGTCAGATATCTATCCTTTCCATAGAATTATGATGGCTACAGCTCTGGGCAGTGAGAGCAGCCTGTGTTTATTTGTTCTCCCATCAGACATACTACATATGTAGGAACTCTGGGAGAATTTTAAGCAGGGTCTTAAACAAATTGGATAAGCTATATACATTTTTTGCCTTGATTTTTTCACCTGTAAAAATATGATTTTGATTCATTCTTGATTGCAAAATTATTTTTGATCCTTGCAGGATGGTGCTGAAAAGTGCAAGGCTTGGCCCTCATTAGTTTCCACTTCAGGGGTTGTTTGAGTGCGAATGAGTTTATCTTTGATTGTTTTTAATCAATAAAATGTACTTATCTGTAAGTGGAGTTTGATAAGAATCAAGTACAGCATGAAAGAACTGGTTAATCTGTTGTTAATGAAAAGTTTTATCTGG